ACGCCCTCTGTTGAAGCCTCTATGGTCTCCCAGGTAACGAGATGATTGTTCTGACTACGCCCTCTGTTGAAGCCTCTATGGTCTCCAAGGTAACGAGATGATTGTTCTGACTACGCCCTCTGCTGTTGTGTCAATGGGGATGGGGCTGTCCAATGAAATATCGCCTTTTGTATGCGGATGGTTAATCCTGCTGCTCTGTGTTGTAATGATGCTTCTGATGTCCGGTTTGATCAAATACCTCTGTTGGCCCGAACCTTTACCCTCTAGACACTGACCCCTAAGGGGATCCACTTTGCGACCCAGCTGGATTGGTACTTCAATCTGTCCAATTGTGTCAGATTGCGTCATGTGCTTCGGGGTGAAGCGTGTTGTGTAACCTAACCAACCATGGTTTAGCTGAACCCTCTGGATGTTGGTCGTCATGGAATCAAACGTTGCTGAACGCTGCCCCAGGTTTGAACAAAAATAATATGAAATATTTTAACAATATCCAATCTTCAGACCTCCATGTGTGAGTGAAGGGACTAGTTTACATTCTAACCAACGCGTGGTTTATCTTCACCCTGGATGTGGCCTGTTATTCATCCAGAATACTCCCATTTTACTGGCTTCAGAGTCCAACCTTCATGAATTGAAACAGAACTCTTCAGCTGTGACGTTGCTGTGTTGGATCCTTACACACGCTTTTTTTCACCAGAGGTGGTGGGGAGATGTGGTGTGACAGATATGTGTTGCCTTTGTAGATTACACAAACTTTCAGCATGTTCTAGTCTGTGAAATACAATAAACCTGTTCCAGTCAGTCTCTTGTTCTAGTCTGTAAAATATAATAAACCTGTTCTAGTCAGTCTCTTGTTCCTCCTGGTCATGTTCTTGTCTGGAAAATACAATAAACCTGTTCCAGTCAGTCTCTTGTTCCTCCTGGTCATGTTCTTGTCTGGAAAATACAATAAACCTGTTCCAGTCAGTCTCTTGTTCTAGTCTGTAAAATACAATAAACCTGTTCTAGTCAGTCTCTTGTTCCTCCTGGTCATGTTCTTGTCTGGAAAATACAATAAACCTGTTCCAGTCAGTCTCTTGTTCCTCCGGGTCATGTTCTAGTCTGTAAAATACAATAAACCTGTTCGTCAGTCTCTTGTTCCTCCTGGTCATGTTCTAGTCTGTAAAATACAATAAACCTGTTCTAGTCTGTAAAATACAATAAACCTGTTCGTCAGTCTCTTGTTCCTCCGGGTCATGTTCTAGTCTGGAAAATACAACAAACCTGTTCCAGTCTGTAAAATACAATAAACCTGTTCGTCAGTCTCTCGTTCCTCCGGGTCATGTTCTAGTCTGTAAAATACAATAAACCTGTTCTAGTCTGTAAAATACAATAAACCTGTTGGTCAGTCTCTTGTTCTTCCGGGTCATGTTCTAGTCTGTAAAATACAATAAACCTGTTCTAGTCAGTCTCTTGTTCCTCCGGGTCATGTTCTAGTCTGGAAAATACAATAAACCTGTTCCAGTCAGTCTCTTGTTCCTCCGTAAAATACAATAAACCTGTTCTAGTCTGTAAAATACAATAAACCTGTTCCAGTCAGTCTCTTGTTCCTCCGGGTCATGTTCTAGTCTGTAAAATACAATAAACCTGTTCTAGTCTGTAAAATACAATAAACCTGTTCGTCAGTCTCTTGTTCCTCCGGGTCATGTTCTAGTCTGGAAAATACAATAAACCTGTTCCAGTCAGTCTCTTGTTCCTCCGTAAAATACAATAAACCTGTTCTAGTCTGTAAAATACAATAAACCTGTTCCAGTCAGTCTCTTGTTCCTCCGGGTCATGTTCTAGTCTGTAAAATACAATAAACCTGTTCCAGTCAGTCTCTTGTTCCTCCTGGTCATGTTCTAGTCTGGAAAATACAATAAACCTGTTCCAGTCAGTCTCTTGTTCCTCCGGGTCATGTTCTAGTCTGTAAAATACAATAAACCTGTTCCAGTCTGTAAAATACAATAAACCTGTTCGTCAGTCTCTTGTTCCTCCTGGTCATGTTCTAGTCTGTAAAATACAATAAACCTGTTCGTCAGTCTCTTGTTCCTCCGGGTCATGTTCTAGTCGTAAAATACAATAAACCTTTCTAAGTCTCAGTAAAAACAATAAACATGTTCGTCAGTCTCTTGTTCCTCAGGGTAGTTCAGCTGGAAATACAACAAACCTGTTCAGTCAGTCTCTTGTTCCTCCGTAAAATAAATAAACTGTCCAGTCAGTCTCTTTCCTACGGTAGTTCTAGTTAAAATACAATAAACCTGTCAGTCAGTCTCTTGTTCCTCCTGGTCATGTTCTAGTCGGAAATACAATAAACCTGTTCCAGTCAGTCTCTGTTCCTCTGTCAGTTCTGTCTAAATACAATAACCCTTCCAGTCGGAATACAAAACCTGTTCGCGTCTCTTGTCCTCTGGTCATGTTCTATCTGTAAATACACAACCTTGTGTCAGATCTCTTGTTCCTCCGGGTAAGTTCTAGTCTAAAAAACAATAAACTGTTCAGTAGCTCTTGTACACAGTCTCTGTTTCCAGGTCATGTTCTAGTCTGGAAAATAACAATAACGTTCCAGTCAGTCTCGCTAGCCTTCCAGGTCTGTCTGTTGAAAATCAAAAATGCAGTGTCATATGTTCTAGTCTGAAAAATACAATCAACCTGTCAGTCAGTCTATTCCCGTCATGTTCTAGTCTGAAATACAATAAACTTTCGTCAGTTCTTTCCCCGGTCATTTCTAGTCTGTAAAATACAAATAAACCTTTCCATTTAAAATACATAACCTGCGTCAGATCTGTTCCCCGGCAGTCTATAAAAACAATACAAACCTGTTCGTCTGTAAAATACAAAAACTCTTCTAGTCTCTGTTCCTCCGGGTCAGTTCTAGTCTGTAGAAAATACAAAACTGTTCCAGTCTGTAAAATACAATAAACCTGTTGGTCAGTCCTGTGTCTTCCGGTCATGTTAGACTGTAAAAACAATAACTTTATCTCATGTCCTCTGTCTTCAGTCTGTAAAATACAATAAACCTGTTCCAGTCAGTCTCTTGTTCCTCTGGGTCATGTTCTAGTCTGGAAAATACAATAAACCTGTTCCAGTCAGTCTCTTGTTCCTCCGGTCATGTTCTAGTCTGTAAAATACAATAAACCTGTCCAGTCAGTCTCTTGTTCCTCCGGGTCATGTTCTAGTCTGTAAAATACAATAAACCTGTTCCAGTCAGTCTCTTGTTCCTCCTGTCATGTTCTGTCTGTAAAATCAAAAACTTTCAGTCTTTGTTCTTCCGGTCATGTTCAGTCTTAAAATACAATAAACCTGTTCCAGTCAGTCTCTTGTTCCTCCTGGTCATGTTCTAGTCTGGAAAATACAATAACCTGTCCGTCAGTCTCTTGTTCCTCTGGGTCATCCGTTCTAGTCTGTAAATACATAACCCCAACACCTGCGTTTTCTAGTCTGTAAAATACAATAAACCTGTTCTAGTCTGAAAATACAATACCTGTTCGTCAGTCTCTTGTTCCTCCGGGTCATTTTCTAGTCTGAAAATACATAAACCTGTTCCAGTCAGTCTCTTGTTCCTCCGTAAATCAATAACCGTTCTAGTCTGTAAAATACAATAAACCTGTTCCGTCAGTCTCTTGTTCCTCCGGGTCATGTTCTAGTCTGTAAATAAACAAACCTGTTCCGCGTCAGTTTCCTCACGTAAAATACAATAAACCTGTTCCAGTCAGTCTCTTGTTCCTCGTCTCTGTTCCTCGAATCACCTGTTCCAGTCGTAAAATACAATAAACCTTCCATCTGTTCTCTGGTCATGTTCAGTCTGAATACATAAACCTGTTCGTCATCTCTTGTTCCTCGGGTCATGTTCTAGTCTGTAAAATACAATAAACCTGTTCAGTCGTAAAACAATAAACCGTTGTCGTCTTGTTCCTCGGCATGCAGTCTCAAAACACAACTGCTATTCTGTCTGTAAAATACAATAAACCTGTTCAGTCAGTCTCTTGTTCCTCCGGGTCATGTTCTAGTCGTAAAATACAATAAACCCTGTTCTCCAGTCCAATCTCTTGTTCCTCCTGGTCATGTTCTAGTCTGGAAAATACAACAAACCTGTTCCAGTCAGTCTCTTGTTCCTCCGTAAATACAATAAAACCTGTTCCAGTCAGTCTCTTGTTCTCCGGGTCATGTTCTAGTCTGTAAATACAATAAACCTGTTCCAGTCAGTCTCTTGTTCCTCCTGGTCATGTTCTAGTCTGGAAAATACAATAAACCTGTTCCAGTCAGTCTCTTGTTCCTCTGGGTCATGTTTAGTCTGTAAAATACAATAAACCTGTTCAGTCTGTAAATACAATAAACCTGTTCGTCAGTCTCTTGTTCCTCCTGGTCATGTTCTAGTCTGTAAAATACAATAAACCTTTTCTCAGTCTCTTGTTCCTTCCGGGTCATGTTTCTAGTCTGGAAAATACAATCAAACCTGTTCCCAGTCAGTCTGCTTGTCCTCAGTCCCTCTTGTTGCCATCCAGGTCATGTTCCCTAGTACTGGAAAATACAATAAACCTGTTCCCAGGTCAGTCTCTTGGTCCAGTCAAGTCTCTTGTTCCTCAGGTCATGTTCTAGTCTGGAAAATACAATAAACCTGTTCTAGTCAGTCTCTTGTTCTCCTGGTCATGTTCTAGTCTGGAAAATACAATAAACACTGTTCCAGTCAGTCTCTTGTTCCTCCGGGTCATGTTCTAGTCTGTAAAATACAATAAACCTGTTTTGTCAGTCTCTTGTTCCTCCTGGTCATGTTCTAGTCTGTAAAATACAAATAAACCT